ATTTCTGAAGAAGGGTCCCGACTCAAAACGTCAACTTTCCTGCTCCTCTGATGCTGTCTGGCCTGCTGTGTTCCTCCAGCTCCACACTGTGTTATCACAATCAAAGTTAATTGTCATTTGAAATGATATGGGATAACAAAAGAAACTTAGCAGAGGTTTATTCAAAGCAAATCATGTAAATTGAACTTAATTGAACACATTGCTACAGTGGCAGGAGTGTTGTGTGGGGTTGATGTGGGCATAAATTTTTAAAAGTGATAAAGTCTCACTAATAGACTAGCTAGCAATAAATTAAAGCCCTTGGGATTAAAGGAATGATGTAGCATCGACGCCAAATTTCCTAAGAGGTATAGAAAATGCACACTTAGTGATGATTGGTTGTTTTTCAGATTGGAGGGAAATATATACCATGGTGTTCCCAAGGAATCAGCCAGGTATAACTGAGGGAAGGATTTACACAGCGTTGCATACACTTTTGAGGGGTGACGGGGTAATTACTGTGGACAGGGGGTGGCTGTTTCAGTAGCAGGCAGCCTCCGCACTGGAATGGACCTCCATGGGCTACAGTGGACAATCGGGATGGTCCCACTCGAGCCCACAACCCTACTGAGGAGCTATTGGTTTTACACCATTATCTGCTGGGGCTGTTAGAGGTGGGTTGATTACTACTCTTGTCCTCGGCAGGGATGGAGAGTTGGAGTGGTAGAAGCTGATACCAGGCAGGGGGTAAGGGCTTGTAGCAGGGAACACAAAGAGGGACAAACACTGTGACAAATCCATGATTCTAAGTGTGGTGCCCTAAAAGTAATCATCAGGAATGCAGTGAAAGACAGAATAAGTGCTTTGAACAGCAGTCACGCGATGGCTATAGCTGGTGTTCTTCTGCTTCCCCTTCGGGTATGGGACAACCTCACAGCCCAACTCTCTGTCTCTAGTAAAATCACTAACTGGCCTCAACTTGCCTTCTCACCTCAACCTTCCTCATCCCTGAGTGAATTTCAGGCAATTGAGAGTTGGGAAGTCCACAGAAGCATCCCTCCCCTTTTTCCTTCTTAATTTTATTGGCTCCCTGCCTGGTCCCTAGGGGAGAGAATTATATTCTGGCCTGTGAGTGAACAAGAGTACTGTGTTCTTGATTATGTGGTCATGAATGAAATTCATACTGATTAATATTTCATAAAAACAGAAAGTGCCTGGACTCCTGAGCAGGTCTGGCAGCTTCTGTGGAGAAAAAATGAGTTAATGTTGCAATTTGTTGACCTTTCCAGCATTTTCTGTTATTTCAGATTTTCTGCATCTACAGTATGTTGTTTCTCTGATTAAATGTTATCCTATTTTCATCATTAAATCGTAGAAAGGAGCAAACAGAGAACTTGGCAGCAATTTGTCATTTTTTTCATTTATTCCTTCTAATAATTGAACTAAGTGATATGATTTATGTAAAGAGAGAAATTATATTTCTAATTTTGATACCCAGTTTTGGTCATTTTCATTATCTAATTCTTTTCTTCAGATTTGTACTTTAATCCATCTGGGCATGACTTCAAAATTGAGTCAAATTCAGGACCATAAAAAGTTACTTTGGTTCATCGGATTGCGTCCAATTTTCTTTTGCGAGTAATTTTTCTGTTGCATGAATTCAAGTTGTTTACTGTGGTATTTTACTGTTACTTTATTGATATCTGTGTTTGTGAACTGAAGGAGTAGTTCAGAATCAAGTGTTTCATAACTGCCAGAGATATTTTTATTGAAATGAGAATAGTGTAATGCAGAAACATGTAAATTGCCCCCATTGAAAAAGTTTTTCTTCAAGTCAGCTGTTTTATGTGCTGTTTAAGTGTTGAGTTAGATATATAATGTATATGTAATGGAAAATACTCTCTCATGGGATCTTAGGAAGCTATAATTGAAGTTGTAAATTGTATCCCATTGATTAGTAATACTAGTAGTATTTTTGTGTGCTACACTGCATTATATAATTACAGTTAAGTTAAATGTTTCAAATGTTTTAATATAACAATTTTGATTTGTGACTAACTTTAATTACTGCAAATGATACACAGTTGTTCCATTAAAATTTTCTTTAGCCAGAGCTGGCTACAAAATCCTTTGAGTGTTAATTTGTTGTCCATGCAAAGAACTGACCTGCCCAAAACCTGTGAGTGGCCTGTTTATTTCAATGCATAGTGCATTCCAGATTATTGCACATTGTGCTCACATAGATGTTGGAGGGACGATTGCTCGCCTCCCACTGGCTCCATTCCACCTCACCTCAAAAGTCCACACCTTTGCCTCTCATTAGTCCCAATCCACCCCACCTCTAAGAGATCACAGTCTATGTCTATGTGCACATGCCCAATCTATCTTTCTTGTCAGTGGTCCCATTCTACCTCCCGTCCATGAATAGGAACAGCCTTGTTCTATTTTCTCCATCTGCACTCCTTCATGATTTTGAATCCCTTCACTCAACCTTCCCTTCTCTAAGGAGTTGCTCCAATCAATCCTGGTAACTGAGGTGCCTCAGTAAGAATTACACAATTCCCTCAATCCAGATATAACATGGGCCGGGGTGAGTGGGCTCCTGACCAACCCATTCAGAATCATCTCCATGTCCTGTTTGATTGAGCTTGACAGGTCAGTACTGACATCTCAAAGTGAGAGTACAAAATGGGAATTAACAAATTGACAGTTCCTGTGAGTGCCAGTCACTGGGGTCCAAGATGGGAGTAGCAACAGAGTAACTCCTGTCCTCTGGTCTACTCTCCTGGGAGTATCACCTCCAGGCCTCTGATATCTGTCTCCAGGAACAAAGGGCAAGTACAGTTTAACAGGTACAGGTCAAGATCAAGAGAGACTGGTTAGAGTACAAATGGAAACCATTCAGTATTTGCTCACAACAAGGTGAAAGGCATCATTTAAAATGTAATCACTCAGACCTTTATATAATAAAGGAAGATGTGGGCTCTGTTTAAATCTGCCAAGTTATATCGATGGCCAGTTGATGATATAAAGCTTGCAGTTTTGATTACTAGCCATTCAGTTCTAACCTGGCTGTGGATACATTGGTAAGGAGAAGGCAAGAGTACAAGGAAGAATTAAGTGAGAAAGAGATATTTAGTACAGGAAGCCTCTTATTTAGATTGCACCATAGAGGTGTTCATAGCCTTGTCCAATTCTTAGCACTGCTGCCTCACAGCGCCAGGGACCCGGGTTCGATTCCAGCCTCGGACGACTGTCTGTGTGGAGTTTGCACACTCTCCCTGTGTCTGTGTAGATTTCCTCCAGGTGCTCCGGTTTCTTCCCACAGTCCAAAGATGTACAGCTTAGGTGGATTGGCCATGCTAAATTACCCATAGTGTCCAGGGATATGCAGGTTAGGTGGATTAGCCATGGGAAATGCAGGGTTACAGGGATAGGATAGGGTGGTGGGTCTGGGTGGGCTGCTCTTCGGAGGGTTGTAACAGACCTGATGGGCCGAATGACCTACTTCACACTGTGAGGATTCTATGATTCTATAGATTCTATGAATGCAAGTTATCTATCTAAAGATCGGGATAGGGCAGTCAGAGTCAGGTCTAACTTTCATATCATCATCAATTGCTAACTCTCGTTGGGTGTGGTTCAGATATTTCATCACATAACCGCTCATCTCCAAAGCCCTGCTCAATTAAGTGGCCATTTTATTTGAACTTTCTGCAGTATTTTGGTAAGGAATAAAGGCACAGGGATTGTAATGCTCAGCTCCAAACATGACTGGCGATGGTCTTATGGAAGGTGAAGGTCATCCAATTGGGGCACACTGAATTGCCTGGTGCCTTCCTGCACCATCTTGGAAAAGTATTCCCTGATTGCACCAACAGCCTCTGAGCTGGTATTATCATAACAACACACAGCCCTACCAGCTGATTTGATGCTGATTTCCTGGCGGTACGCTTTAGTGAGGAATCTGGCAGAATCTTGTGAGAAGCTTAGCAAGGCCTCTCTTGATTGTGAAAACATTAAGTTGCGTTTTACGACTATGTTCTGGACATCAAGTTGAGGTGTGGTGAGAGGCCTATTAACAGGGATTATTACTCATTATCACCCTCTCTATTACATATCACCTTATTAGTATCTGCTCTCCTATATTACCACCCATCAGTTAGAAACTCGAGAATATAAATATGAAAGTCTGAGTGGGTACCTGGCAACTCCAGTTCACCACTTACTCCTCTGGACCTCCATCTTGGATGGCCAGCACCAATGTCTCACTGCGCACTCATTGGGCGGAGGCCGCACGCATCCCACATCCATGGGGACTGGCATCTGATATGTGCCAGCCTCTCTACACCACCATGGCACGTCTCCAGTCCACTTACAGTACACATCTGTATTTTAATGTTGCACTCCAGAGTGCACTGGCAATGATCATTAATATACAGCTACAAAGACACAAAGTGGCAGAGCATGAGCCTTGGTGAGGAGTGTGTACTGTAGCAGAGATAGAATGAGTGGGAGGTTGCAAAGAGGAGATGTTGGCACTTATCCTGGCAGAGTGGAGAAGGTCATTGACCTTCTTCCTGCACTGCTGGACATTTTTCCAGATGGCAGAGGGCACCCTGACCCAGGCCAGGCTGGAAGGATCTGGTGCCACTGCCTCCTCTGCTGATCCTTTGGGAAGATGGCATCCATCTGCTGCAGCACAGTCTAGCTCCCTGTTCACAAAACAGGGCACCGAATTTCCCCTTATCTATCATGTCACAAGCCACAATGCTCCAGACTGGCAGCACTTGTATGGATGCACATTGGCCTTTTAAAGGTGGCACTGGCACAAGAGAATCATGGAATCCCTACAGTGCGGAAGGGCACCATTCAACCTATCAAATCTGCACCGATCCTCCGAAGAGGATCCCACCCAGTAGCATCCCCCTAAAGCCACATGATGTTTTATCACGGCTGCCCACATAACCTGCGCGTCTCCAGACACCACAGGGCAATTTTTTTAACCATTGCCAATCCACCTAGTCTGCATATCTTTGGATGGACTGTGGGAGGAAACTGGAGCACCCGGCAGAAACCCACGCCAACTTGGGGAGAATGTGCAAACTCCACCCAGACAGTCACCCGAGGCTGGTATCTCATCCAGTTCCCTGGAACTGTGAGGCAGTAGTGCTAACCACTGAGCTACCGTGTCATCCATGGGTGATCCCAGAACATCCCAACAGTTGCAAATGCATTGAGCTGTGGCGAGTGGGAGATTGGGCTGGCATTGGATGAAAGTGATGTTACAGAGACATGGCAGGCAGTTAATGAGGCATTAATGGGATTGTAATGCAAGAAAACTCACTCAATCTCGCACAGCGAGAGGAGCTCTCCTTGAAACTCAATGGAAATGAAACTTTGCAAACTGTAGACAGTGCCAGCTCTGCAGTCAATTACACTGCAGTCTCCCAAACTTTCTCAGATTATATTCTGTTTCGGGAATTAGTCTGGATGGATTATTGACAAAACTCACAGCAGGATCCTCGAGGTTAATCTTTAATTCCTGGCAATTCCAGGGCAGCCTATGCAAGCTAATGTCCATTTTGCCATTCCTTAGGACAACAGAGCCTCAGATTAAACCTTAGCTCAGAACCACATGATATGCTGCTTTATCTGTGAAGTTGTAGACCTTTATTATAATATGCTTTCAGGAAGCCCCTGGAAAACGTACAGCAAGGGAACATCACCCAGTTTAATTTTCATAGCTTCACCTTATTTCTTACAGATTAACATTGACTTCACAACAAGGGAGAATATTACCAAAAACATCGGTGATCCTACCCCTTCCAGCTTTGACCTGGCGCAGAAACTAATCTACAGCCTGATGGCCAAAGACTGTTACCCCAGATTCCTGAAGTCCAACAACTACCTGGAACTGGTAACCAATGCAGACAAAAGTCAATAGGGATGAAGCCATTTCTGACATCATGTCCAACGAGCAGTGAAAACTCAGATCAGAAATAGTCATTATTTGTCGGCTGGACAGTGAGAATATTGTCAGTAATTTAAGACGATAAGGCTTGCTCAGGCTGATCTGAAATAATGAATGACAAAAGTGATTAATGAAAGATTCCCAAATGTTTAGATTGCTGTAATCCTAAAGAAAAATATTCTCAGTGCAAATAGTTCCTTAGTTATTGTCAGAAGATTTTAAGGTCCGTGTTACTCTCCAAGGCTGATCTGAACACTGTACTGTAAAGTGTTAAACCTGGTCGTTGCTAATGTTGTGGGCCTCTCAGACGAGTTGCCCATATTTGGGATTGAAATTTTAGCTTGGCTGTTAAACATAATAGGGTTTTAACAAGGAACACCAAAGAGTCTATAATTGCTTAAGTTAGAACAATAAGATTTGATTAATTAACTGATGGCATGAACCCAAATTTCTTCCAAATAATGAGGTGATGATATTGTCCTTAAAGTGAATTCAGGGGGATCCGCAGTGAAACATTCTTATTGTGCCTTTTATGTAGGCTCTGTCATAACCTTTAAAGACTGATGTCATAATTAGCCTTGTTTTCTGAGGGTTTAGTCATTATATATGGCACTATTCTTTTCTCAAATAATTTATTTACATAAATTTTAGCCACTTTATGATAAACAATGATCTACAGGATTGGATTAAAGCCATCTGCTCCAAATTTGGCAAGACTGCACTTTAAATGACTCAGGATAGCATAACCACTCTCTGAATTATCTTTCTATTTGATAAGGAAAACCAATAAAGGACTATCACATACTTTTTCATCATTTACCAACTGTCACTGACTACTCAATCCCTTTATTTCGTCACCAGCTATTAGTCTGCTGTTATCAACTGCTGTCATGTTTCCTAATTTCATCACTTTATAGCTTCAAAAACAGAATAAAATCCTGCTGCAAACTCAGACTGTTGTGTTGTGTTTTAATTTTAAGTAGCATTTGACTTCATCAGAAGGGGTTGCAATTGGTAACAGCATTTTAAACTATGTTCGCTGAATTGCGATGAAATTTTAATAGCTTACGCAGGACATAATGCAGATGAGTCCAAAGAGTTAAAATCTTCTGTACATCGCTCTGTCTAAATCAAGATCAATTCAGCTTGCCTCACATTATCTCTGTGCATGTGTTGCCTAAACCGGGTCTGGTGGCTATACCGAGGTGCACTGTTACCAATAATCCTACTGACACTGTCCGTGATGTCTCGGATCGTGTTTTCGGGATCCTTAAGGGGGAGGGGGAGCAGCCCCAAGTTGTGGTCCACATAGGCACCAAAGGCACAGGTAGGAAAAGGGATGGGGATGTAAGGCAGAAATTCAAGGAGCTAGGGTGGAAGCTTAGAGCTAGAACAAACAGAGTTGTTATCTCTGTTATCTCTGGTTTGTTACCCGTGCCACGTGCTAGCGAGGTGAGGAATAGGGAGAGAGAGCAGTTGAATACGTGGCTACAGGGATGGTGCAGGAGGAAGGGATTCAGATACCTGGATAATTGGGGCTCATTCTGGGGTAGGTGGGACCTCTACAAACGGGATGGTCTACACCTGAACCAGAGGGGTACCAATATCCTGGGGGGGAAATTTGCTAATGCTCTTCGGGATGGTTTAAACTAATTCAACACTGGGATGGGAACCTGAATTGTAGCTCCAGTGTACAGAAAGTTGAGAGTAGTGAGGTCATGAATAAGGTTTCAAGGTCGCAGGAGTGTACCAGCAGGCAGGAAGGTGGTTTGAAGTGTGTCTACTTCAATGCCAGGAGCATCCGGAATAAGGTGGGTGAACTTGCAGCATGGGTTGGTACCTGGGACTTCGATGTTGTGGCCATTTCGGAGACATGGATAGAGCAGGGACAGGAATGGTTGTTGCAGGTTCTGGGGTTTAGATGTTTCAGTAAGATCAGGGAAGGTGGTAAAAGAGGGGGAGGTGTGGCATTGTTAGTCAAGGACAGTATTACAGTGGCAGAAAGGACGTTTGATGAGGACTCGACTACTGAGGTAGTATGGACTGAGGTTAGAAACAGGAAAGGAGAGGTCACCCTGTTGGGAGTTTTCTATAGGCCTCCGAAAATTTCCAGAGATGTAGAGGAAAAGATTGCAAAGAAGATTCTGGATAGGAGCGAAAGTATCAGCGTCGTTGTTATGGGGGACTTTAACTTTCCAAATATTGACTGGAAACGCTATAGTTCGAGTACTTCAGATGGGTCAGTTTTTGTCCAATGTGTGCAGGAGGGTTTCCTGACACAGTATGTAGTTAGGCCAACAAGAGGCGAGGCCGCATTGGATTTGGTACTGGGTAATGAACCAGGCCAGGTGTTAGATTTGGAGGTAGGTGAGCACTTTGGTGATAGTGACCATAATTCGGTTACATTTACTTTAGCGATGGAAAGGGATAGGTATATACCGCAGGGTAAGAGTTATTGCTGGGGGAAAGGCAACTATGAGGCATTTAGGATGCATTGGATGGAGAAGGAAACTGCAGGGGCTGGGCACAATTGAAATGTGGAGCTTGTTCAAGGAACAGCTACTGTGTGTCCTTGATAAGTATGTACCTGTCAGGCAGGGAGGAAGTGGTTGAGAGAGGGAACCGTGGTTTACTAAAGAAGTTGAATCTCTTGTCAAGAGGAAGAAGGAGGCTTATGTAAAGATGAGGCGTGAAGGTTCAGTTAGGGCACTTGAGAGTTACAAGTTAGCCAGGAAGGACCTAAAGAGAGAGCTAAGAAGAGCCAGGAGGGCCAGTTAAGGACAGTAGTGGGAAGTTGTGCGTGGAGCCCGAAGAGATAGGAGAGACGCTAAATGAATATTTTTCATCAGTATTCACACAGGAAAAAGACAATGTTGTCGAGGAGAATACTGAGATACAGGCTATTAGAGTAGACGGGATTGAGGTTCATAAGGAGGAGGTGTTAGCAATTCTGGAAAGTGTGAAAATAGATAAGTCCCCTGGGCCGGATGGGATTTATCCTAGGATTCTCTGGGAAGCTAGAGAGGAGATTGCAGAGCCTTTGGCTTTGATCTTTATGTCATCATTGTCTACAGGAATAGTGCCAGAAGACTGGAGACTAGCAAATGTTGTCCCCTTGTTCAAGAAGGGGAGTAGAGACAACCCTGGTAATTATAGACCAGTGAGCCTTACTTCGGTTGTGGGTAAAGTGTTGGAAAGGATTATAAGAGATAGGATTTATAATCATCTAGAAAGGAATAATTTGATTAGGGATAGTCAACACGGTTTTGTGAAGGGTAGGTCGTGCCTCACGAACCTTATTAAGTTCTTTGAGAAGGTGACCAAACAGGTGGATGAGGGTAAAGCTGTTGTTGTGGTGGATATGGATTTCAGTAAAGCGTTTGATAAGGTTCCCCACGGTAGGCTATTGCAGAAAATACGGAGGCATGGGATTGAGAGAGATTGAGGGCTAGCTGTAAGAAGACAGAGGATGGTGTTGATGGGAAATGTTCATCCTGGAGTTCAGTTACTAGTGGTGTACCGCAAGGATCTGTTTTGGGGCCACTGCTGTTTGTCATTTTCATAAATGACCTGGATGAGGGCGTAGAAGGATGGGTTAGTAAATTTGCGGATGACACTAAAGTCGTTGGAGTTGTGGATAGTGCAGAAGGATGTTGCAGGTTACATAGGGACATAGATAAGCTGCAGAGCTGGGCTGAGAGGTGGCAAATGGAGTTTAATGTGGAAAAGTGTGAGGTGATTCACTTTGGAAGGAGTAACAGGAATAGAGAGAACTGGGCTAATGGTAAGATTCTTGGTAGTGTGGATGAGCAGAGAGATTTCGGTGTCCATGTACATAGATCCCTGAAAGTTGCCATCCAGGTTGATAGGGTTGTTAAGAAGGCATACGGTGTGTTAGGTTTTATTGGTAGAGGAATTGAGTTTCGGAGCCATGAGGTCATGTTGCAGCTGTACAAAACTCTGGTGCGGCCGCACTTGGAGTATTGCGTACAGTTCTGGTTGCCGCATTGTAGGAAGGATGTGGAAGCATTGGAAAGGGTGCAGAGGAGATTTACCAGGATGTTGCCTGGTATGGAGGGAAGGTCTTATGAGGAAAGGCTGAGGGTCTTGAGGCTGTTTTCGTTAGAGAGAAGAAGGTTAAGAGGTGACTTAATAGAGACATACAAGTTGATCAGAGGATTAGATAGGATGGACAGTGTGAGCCTTTTTCCTCGGATGGTGATGGCTAGCATGAGGGGACATAGCTTTAAATTGAGGGGTGATAGATATAGGACAGATGTCAGAGGTAGGTTCTTTACTCAGAGAGTAGTAAGGGCGTGGAATGCCCTGCCTGCAACAGTAGTAGACTCGCCAACTTTAAGGGCATTTAAATGGTCATTGGATAAACATATGGATGATAATGGAATAGTGTAGGTTAGATGGGCTTCAGATTGGTTTCACAGGTCGGCACAACATCGAGGGCCAAAGGGCCTGTACTGCGCTGTAATGTTCTATGTTCTATGTTCTATGTACCAAAACTGTACCGACAGTCCTGCTAGTCTTTGTTACATTTTTATCCACATCTCATTTCACTCAGCATATTCAGGCTGGATGTTTCTTCATCATTGTCTGATTTTTGTCTTCTATACTTTCCAAGGTGTGTAGTCTCCTTCCTTTCAGCTACGGTTCATGCTATTAATAATAAATAACACACACGAACAACAAGAAAATTTAAAACGTTAACTCTGTTTTCTTATTCACAGATGCTGCCAGGCCTGCTGAGCTTTTCCAGCAACTTTGTTTTTGTTCCTGATTTGCAGCATCCGCAGTTCTTTTGGTTTTGAAGAAAATTTCAAAGCAAACTTTATCTTAAAAGGAAGCTGTGAAATGTTACACAATGTAAACAGTATTTTACCGTGTGATTAAGGCTGTTATTGATGGGGCGAAGTTCAACTTGGCAATATTCACACTGAATGTCAATATCATTGCAAACA